TTCGAGTTGTATACTGCGGCTGTGATTAGCCAGGATTATATATGAAATAAAAGAATATGACAGCAAATGGAAATGTATGTACAAGCAACAAAGAACACAAAATACTAAGTATACCAATATCAATCATGAATAGTTTGGTATAAAAAAGCAAAGGTCCCAACGAAAATCAATGTTGTGAATAACTATTGCAATCGGGAACCTTCGGGACATTCCGTAAACGAAGCCTTCCCCCTGATTGTTCACGTTAATGTACATCATTGAATACGACGTAATATAACAATGTCGCCCTTTTCACTTTTATGCTGTCATTATAAGACAAATTGTTGATAATGTTCGAGGCTAAATATTTCTATACTTGACACTGATTGTGAAAATGAACAAATATATAGTGTAAACACTCCGTACCAAACATAATATAAAGATACTCAAGTATAACCAGAATAGATTTTGGTCACACTGTGTAATCTGATGTACCAGTATCTAAAGTCTATGCGTAGACACCGACAATGTATATATAGATACAGATAATTGTACATGGTTGTGAACACAGCCAGTTTTCAGAGGAAGTCGGGGAGTTTTCCTCTTTTTCGTGAGCAAAGTTATTGACAGGTGTCTGGGAATTGGGATAGCAGAAGCTACGCTCCGATCAAATCCAATCTATCTTGACAGAAATATTTGATAAAGAGCCACGTGTGATGTATTTCAGGCGGTGTGATTTCTCTAGAGCTTTAACAGGAAAAGGGTTCTAGTTATCCATCAGTAACATATTGACATAATACAGTTACCTAGTTATCACAGTAACAAAACTTCCAACAATACTGACCTGGTTATAATACTTCAGAATACCTCTCAATATCACTAACCTGGTCACTAACTCAAACACTACTGACCTAGTTATCACAGTAACATCTCACCAACACTACTGACCTAGTTATCACAGTAACACCACTCCAACAATACTGACCTAGTTATCACAGTAACACCTCTCCAACACTACTGACCTAGTTATCACAGTAACACCTCTCCAACACTACTGACCTAGTTATCGCAGTAACATCACTCCAACAATACTGACCTAGTTATCACAGTAACACTATCCAACACTACTGACCTAGTTCCCACAGTAAAACCTTCCCAACAACATTGACCTTTATTATCACAGTAACACTATCCAACAGTTCTGATCTAGTTACCACAGTGACATCTCTCCAACACTGCTAACCTAGTTATAGTTACACCTCTCCAACACTGCTAACCTAGTTATAGGTACACCTCTCCAACACTGCTAACCTAGTTATAGTTACACCTCTCCAACACTGCTAACCTAGTTATAGTTACACCCCTCCAACATTAGCGACCTAGTTTTCACAGTGACAGCTATTGCTCTTTCCTCGAACCCAATACAGCTGCTCTGGTGACACAGCCATCTCGTTTTAAGTACATTTTTTCAACAAAATTCGTCTCTTTGATATCAGTACAAGCATATTATCGTTTTGTTATCAGAAGAACCATTTTCATCTTTTTCTTTTCAGTTCGACCATATACATCTTTTTGTTATCAACACGACCATCAACACGACCAATTTCATCATTTTGTTATCAGTACAAACATTTTCATTTTTTTTTATCATCACGAGTATTTTCGTCTTTTTTCAAAACTTTTGATGAAAATTCGTAATGAATCACCTGTCCACTTTATAAGCTGTGGATTTTGTGGACTTTTTGTCCTTTGTTGGCGCGTGCCAGTCACGATCGATCAACATGGATCACGGAATCAGGAGACAGCAGTGTCAATTACCTAATGATAATTCTCTTTGAAGAACAACAAAGAGTACATCACCTGTTAAACTTGGTTCGAAGTTATTTTATTAATCACAGGTCCTGTGCTGTTCTGTTGAAGATGGCATAACAGAAAGTATAGTCCATGTCGTGTAAAAGATGTTTTATATAAACTAGTTGCAATATAAAACCATTTTTTTTACCTTTTTGCACAAAATATAACCCAAGGAGGTGAAATTTTAATCAACACCAGTAACGTCGAAAGACGTAACATAAAAATCCCTGTACGTTAAACAAAGAAACCACATCAAAAGACGTAAGTTAAACACGGAATCTACGTCAAAAGGTTTAACCTGAAAAGACACATGTAAGTGAAATCAATGTCAAAATCTAATTGCACAAGTCCTGTTAACGAATAACGTAAAGTGATGTTAAACACAAAATCAACGTCAACATGAGTCATACTTTAAACGACTATAGTAATTTAACACTAAACCAACATCAAAAATTAACTTAAACCCAGACACGAAACTAAAAAAAAAACAAAAAAAAAAAAACAAAAAAAAAAACAAATAAATAAATAAAAATAGGATAGAAAAGCCGAGAAAACCGTGCTTTTGCCTCTGTCGTTTACCGTGATGATTTCATAAGTCGTACAGTTTATTTTTTTTTGCGATATATCAGCAATAGATTCGTGAGGGATTATCATGGTGTTATCCAAAGGTCATCAGGTACAGTATTTTATATAACTTAAGTACTTAAAGGTTTGGATTTGCGTGGGGGACTGATGAAAGCATTCTTTTCTTAGTTAAATGAAAAAGGCAACACAACATGAACATTTTCATGTTTTAGTACAGTGGTATACTGCAAAATCATATATTTTCGTGAGACTCAAATTTTATGTTTTTTTCAAAATATTACTATTTCGTCGACAATTGATTTTGTGGATAGATATAGTTCAACTAATCTACTGACATTCATTGACGTATGAATTCGCGGATTAAGAGTTCTCATGGAGTAAACGAAAATAAACCCTCTCGAAAATTAATGACTTTACAGTATTTGCAATACAATATTCGTATCTATTTTTTAGTATTTAAATATAAAAGTGACTAAAATATATACAACACGCTACTATCAAAGTCGGTCTGTCATACAGGATTTGTTTTCATCCTTGAGAGTATTTTGTAAAAAGGAATGAGCAAATTATTCCAGTGTCAATCCGACAGAGAATCGTTTGTTAACCTTGAAAACAGACGGTCACGCTCTCTAAAATATTACGGTGGTATCAAGTGTCGCGTTACGTCTGGCTAATCACCAGAACGGTGTCAATTAGGGCATTGATGTAAAATTGGAATTAAACATGCTCTGCAACACATAGGCTAGGAGACGAATACTCTCTAATCAACCAACAAACCGATTTCTCAACAGCAGGCTCTCCAGATTCTAAGTAGTGAGGAATGGCGTTTCTCGCTAAATACGGGACACAGATGTTTGGGTCGCACTGCTAAAATTCAACTGTTTTTAAGTTTCAGAATGTTGTTTACCAATATGCATATGTTAAATATAATTGTAGATAAAGATATTTAACCAAGTTATCATATATTACTGATTTCGCTTATTCCTTCCCAACACCCTACCTATGTCCTTGAGTAAGACTCTTCTCCTGTCATTAAAGGTAACATCGTGGGCCTCCCGCATAAGGTAGTCTCTAGACACTACAAGGTAACCCAGTCACAAAATGACGCTGTTTGTCATTGATTCAATAACTCAACCAATAACCAAATTCTTCATTATTTTTCTATATATTTGACCAGCAAGATCATTACAGGAGATTTCAATACCATGGTTCATCGGTTAATATGCAATATCCGGTGTATTTATTTGGACAATAAGATCTGAATTTTCAAATATACTATGTATCAATAAGATTGTTCTTCTGTATTATCGAAGTAGCTATAACATGTGTCGAGATGTGATAAATAATAAAACAGAATCCCGATTCCTACAATTTGTATCATTTAGATAGTCCGAAATTGACAATAACGTAATAATATAGGATCCGCGATCATACAATATCAATGTGTAACAAGTAACCCCTGAAACATGAAAATAATCATAGTCTAACTTAAATCAAATCAAAGGTCGATAGTTCCGGCTGATGTCTTGGACAACAGATTGTAACTTTGACCATTCAAGTCCCACTGTGGCAAAAATCATGCGAATTTACCCCAATAATAAAAGGAAATGCCAAGACACCAAACCAATAGGAATAGCAACATCTGAACATTCCATCGTGTAGAAACAAAGTGACTAAATCATAACTATTATGTCGGCACAGACATCAAAACAAAATGAAATGCATCATTTGATCCTTCTATTATGTCAACACAAAGTACCGTACTTGAAGGTCAACACAAAACCAAAAACAAAAGGAAAAGCAACATCTGTTTAACACCATTTTGTCAATACACAATCATGAGTCGATACAGATAACAAAACAAAATGAAAGGCAATATTGTACCCGCCATTTTGTTACTTCACAGTGGCAAATCGTCAGTGAAAGTCGGTATGGTCGCCAAGCCAAAATCAAAGAAAAAGCGAATCATGATAAGAATTTAAGACTTTACGCGACGTTCTAGAAATTCATGTGTTCCGGAATCACATGAGTCATCTGTAACAGTTGTTCTGGCCAAACCCATGACAAAATATTTATCGCCATAACTATCGTACTTACGATTGATAAGCCCGTTCATTGTCGCGGTAACGAAGCTTAAATACGGACCTAATGCATCGTAGAGTATATTGGCGGTCCCGTGTAGGAAACCCTGGATGAGGAATACGTCGATCAACATGACACACGGCTGTGTAGAGTAAACATAGAACAAACACGGGAGAAATGAATGAAATATAAAATGCATTTTTATAACTCTGGAAGGCTGGAAAGTTGCTATCTAGGAAGATAACTTTGAAAAAAATCGGAGTCGGCGAGATTTAAAAAAAAAGGGGGAAAATCGTTAGGTTAACAGACAGTTTGGTAAGACGTTATATTCTGTGGTGAAATATTTACTCCCAATATTTCGCTGCATGAAGAAACTGACAAAACTATGCAAATGGATACGAATTTCGCAAAGTCTACACCATCTTATGGATTATATTGCATGTTCAGTATGAAGCTGTCAGGGTGACGATGTTTCGAAATAAAGAAGTACTTGTACATACCCTATGGAACGTAATGCCTGTCCACTGTAGTGTGAGGACGCCGGACTGACCGGATACGTAAATGCGGTTCATAAACGCGATTCAGAGTGTATGTGATAACAACAGCTGCAGCCTGTCTGCAGATAGGTGGTAGCGCACAGCTCTCTGAGAAACTACCTGTCAGTTTGGATTACACGGTAAACGCGTACAGTCATATTGCTAACATACATGACACTCTCGTCCCTCACAGGAATATAAAAAATGCTAATATTTGGACACACGAGATATAATTAAGTCCTGAATACCACATGCCATTGTGAATGGTGGACTGAGACGATGTACACTATAACTATGGTAACTGCAGAATGGCGCATGACTTTCCATGTTCGACATGTTTGATATTCGGATGTGTTTGTTTAGGCCTGTTTTGACGGACTCGTTTTGTATGTTTTGTATTAATGCTAAGTGTAATTACAAACAGGAACGAGGTATATCATACACTGGAACTACACTACCGAGGAGTACCGAGTGCAAACAGATTCCGAAATGATAGGCGCTAGTACGATTCGATAACTAATCTCTGTAACTCTGTTTACTGAAGACGGAGAATAATATTATGGTTTTTGATTTGGATTCGTTGTGGGGAATTGAGCAAACATTTACACGCTACTTTGATTACCGGAAATGACAGCGATAAAGAAAAAGAAAAATACCAGCATTACATCTTGCACGTGTATGTAGCAGCCATGATATCTTGGACATGAAGCCTGTGTCATCGTGGCCCTTATTTTTAATAGAATCTTGCTTACGTACGAAACTTATTTATAGACATATACGTTACTGAAGTATCCTTGAATTACAATGGAAACTTAATATGCTTTAAGGCCAATATTGATGCACTTACTATATTGTAAATGGTATGGTGGCTGATTCGGGACAACGTAATATCGCTTCGTTTAATGGGAAGCGATATTGCGATATCACGATACCACGATGCGATATCACGATATCACGATGCGATACCACGATAGCGCGATGCGATACCACGATATCGCATCGTGCTATCGTAGTATCGCATCGTTCTATCGTAATATCGCAATCTCGCTTCCCATTAATCGAAGTGATAGTACGATGTCCCGAATCAGCCACCATAAAAAGGCGATGCGTCGAGGAGTTTGCGGTTTGGAGACAAATAAATATTAAACTAATATTTAAATAAGATATCGTGTTCATATTATGATGACGTGCCGATTTCATCAAACATGATGACTGCGCAAGTTTTTCTCTGTATCAAAGGTAGCGGAAGAAATAACGAGGTCACATTGTGGATGAGATTAAGACTCGAAACGAGAGGTCACCATAGGGGGCTTCCCCAAAGTATATATACAGCGTGTAAATAACCACAAAACACAATAAATTAGGATTAGTTATTTGTTCAGGGGTATGCTTATGGAGTTGATATAACTTATGCTCAATATTCTTGCTTTTTTATGACCTTTTATTAATCTGATTAAAATACATATCTTAATCTACCTTTCCAATACTTTCCGTTCCTTAATTTACCTTTCCTATACTTTCCGTTCCTTAATTTACCTTTCCTATACTTTCCGTTCCTTAATTTACCTTTCCTATACTTTCCGTTCCTTAATTTACCTTTCCTATACTTTCCGTTCCTTAATTTACCTTTCCTATACTTTCCGTTCCTTAATTTACCTTTCCAATACTTTCCGTTCCTTAATTTACCTTTCCTATACTTTTCGTTCCTTAATTTACCTTTCCTATACTTTCCGTTCCTTAATTCACCTTTCCTATACTTTCCGTTCCTTAATCTACTTTTCCTATACTTTCCGTTCCTTAATTTACCTTTCCTATACTTTCCGTTCCTTAATTTACCTTAATTTACCTTTCCTATACTTTTCGTTCCTTAATTTACCTTTCCTATACTTTCCGTTCCTTAATTCACCTTTCCTATACTTTCCGTTCCTTAATTTACCTTTCCAATACTTTCCGTTCCTTAATTTACCTTTCCTATACTTTCCGTTCCTTAATTTACCTTTCCTATACTTTCCGTTCCTAAATTTACCTTTCCTATGCTTTCCGTTCCTTAATTTACATTTCCAATACTTTCCGTTCCTTAATTTACCTTTCCTATACTTTCCGTTCCTTAATTTACATTTCCAATACTTTCCTTTCCTTAATTTACCTTTGCTATACTTTCCGTTCCATAATTTACCTTTGCTATACTTTCCGTTCCTTAATTTACCTTTGCTATACTTTCCGTTCCTTAATTTACATTTCCAATACTTTCCGTTCCTTAATTTACCTTTCCAATATTTTCCGTTCCTTAATTTACCTTTCTAGCAGGAATGAGAGAAAATTACAAATATCCTCGAATAAAAGTGATCGCTTTATTCATTGCTTCGAAACTTTTGGAAATCCTGTGCTGTTGTGCAGGTGGTGTGTAAGAACTGTACCTGCTGTCCCAGTTGTATGATCGTAAAAGACGACTAAATTTGGGATCTAATATTTTGTCTTCTTTCGAAATAGCCATTTCTTTTTTTTTTTGTCTCCCTTGACGACGCTGCCTCCTTCTGGCGTTTAATCGAGCATTCGCCCCTGTGAGGAAGGTTTTTGGTTCGGTCCTCTGGCCTTTAGTACTCAATGCTTATGCTCGACTTTGTGGTAGGTGTAACGAATAGTTTGTCCATTATAAGTATAATGTGACCAGATGGAGTGTCCTGCTTGGGAACTATTGCAGTTAGTTCAGTGAGATAGCACTATAATGTTGGTTTCAGTGTCGCACTTTCACAAGGAGATACGTACTCAACACATACACTCAGCTCGCACACATATAGAGGCTTTCCTTAAATTACCAAAGCTGTAGATATGACGATAACCAATATACACACGAAGCTAAGAAATCCTGGATGGAGAAATTGTAAAAACATGGTAAATTCCGTTGGTTAAAGCACTACAGATCAGATATCGCATCAAATTAGAATAATTTACCTCGGTTTATGTAAGTCACGTCTCCTGTATGTACGTATCATAAACGTATAGTGTTATTAAAAAAACATGCGAAATCCGGTTTGAAACTTGTAGGCAAGTAATTATAAAGCAATAAAATAGACATCAAGGGTTTCGTTTTAAGGTTTCAAAAAATACAATGGAATCTGGCCCACTAGTACGAATTAAATTAGCTACAAATCTCTCGTATTACGAGGGAGAGATAACACGCGCCGTTGTTTTTTATGGTGAATCATGTTAGAAACAAGCGGATATACTCTAAGCGGCCCTGTTGTTTAAATACGAAAACTTAGAATTTCCAGTAAAAGATATCAAACCGGAGTTAAATATGTATCTTTGTGTCGAAATTTCGTGTTGTTGTTGGATGTACAGAAAATCTCACATTTACGTAGGTAATTTAGACATTGCTCAGGTAATAATTAGATCAGATAATTGCTATTTTTGAAAAAATAATTCTAAATTATATGTTAGTAAAGATAATTCGTTGGATCTTTTAGATTTACTTATTCATCACAATAAATGCCTGAAACATAGAAAGTCTGTGAGATGGAAAACATAGACAGTTTGTGAGATGGAAAACATAGACAGTTTGTGAGATGGAAAACATAGACAGTTTGTGAGATGGAAAACATAGACAGTTTGTGAGATGGACCACATAGACAGTTTGTGAGATGGACCACATAGACAGTTTGTGAGATGTACTACAAAGACAGATTGTGAGATGGACCACATAGAGAGTTTGTGAGATGGAAAACATAGACAGTTTGTGAGATGGAAAACATAGACAGTTTGTGAGATGGACCACATAGACAGTTTGTGAGATGGACCACATAGACAGTTTGTGAGATGTACTACAAAGACAGATTGTGAGATGGACCACATAGAGAGTTTGTGAGATGGAAAACATAGACAGTTTGTGAGATGGAAAACATAGTTTGTGAGATGGACGACATAGACAGTTTGTGAGATGGACGACATAGACAGTTTGTGTGATGGAAAACACAGACAATCTGTGCGTTGAACCATATTTACGCGTTGTTAGATATACTATGTACATATCAAATTAAGTTTCAGAAAATATTTCACGCGACGAACCAAGGGCCATTAATCTGTTTTTAGTAAGCATCACAAGCCAAATTTACTGTTTACCATATCAAACAGGACAAGTGCACAAGTATGATGACAAATCTTGTTGTAATCGACCTGTGACATTCATCAACGTATACATTCCTACGAATTCCAGACAGACTTCGTCAGGAGCGACCTTTTTGGGAGCTAGAACGAACATAAGTCTATTATCGGATATTGAAGTTACGTCAGCAGATGTCCACCCACACAAACAGGCGAGGTATATAAAAGCCAAACATATATATATGTTATACCGGCTCTTGGAACAATTCCTTTCGTTCTTTTGTACCACAGTGTCTATGAATTTTGCCTTGTATTATTTCCCCAATATCGGGTTAAAACAAGCACATAATTAGCCGGAGATATTTTGCCACAAACTGGAAGAGGCGAGGCACTGACTTATCCGCTTATCGCGATTCATTTGAGAATATTACAGAAGCGGAAATATTTACAGCAGATATTATTTCACTGTGTTGCCTTGACAACGAACACTGACAGCCGATAACGAAGCTGATTTTTCTGAAGGTAGAACTTAATGCAGTTCTAAAGTTGACTTTGATTCTCTAATTAAGCGAGGAATCACGCCGAGAAACAATTGTGTTTCTTTCCTGAAAGAAGCCATAAGTTTAAACGACTTGGCGCGCGTGCTTTATATAGAACATCTGTAATTGGAGCTACTTTTCAAGGTGTCGTCTGCTACGTTAGTTACAAAGACAATTCTTTCAGTTCAATCACTAATAAGGTAAGTACATTGCTTTGAGATAATAAATACAGTCATATGTTTATATATATATATAAGTTCTTAATAAACCATGATGTGCAAAAGAACATTTATGTTGAAAAAAATGCGAACAAAATCATTGTACACCCCTTGGGATTTGGGAGATCAATTTTGGGAAAGAGATCACATAATGTGTATTAAACACTGTTTTATTCATGCTTTTCATATTAATTCTACAAA